TTAGGGCACAGGCGAGATCTTATGAGCTTAAAGGGATACCTGGATGGGAGGGAAGGAAAACAATGCTCCGAAAGAGCACCTGGAACTGGAAACAAAGGTTTGATTTAGAGCTTTTAGGCCTTTTACTTTAATTATAAGTCCTTTTGTACTTGGCAGTCTGTTTGGGGAGAGAAGAAAAGGAATAGGGAGAGAACATTAAGAACAAATTTAAAAGCTTTGAGATACCTAACTTTTCTTTTTGTTTACAAGTACATTTCTCTTAATACACTGTGGTTTTAATTTCTGGAAAAGAGAGGGCGAAAGGGTAAGAGAAGCTTACAGGATCTGCAGACTTAACTGACAACTTAAAAATCTATCCCTGCCTTCTCATACCACTATAACAGGTTAATCTAGGGCAGATTGGAGACACTTTAACATGGACTTCTTTTCTAAGTTTATGCTGTTAGACTAAAACATAACCTTTTAGCCTAATACATACCTTTTAGCACAGGGCAGTTTTGCAGGAAAAGCAAAAGGTCCAGAAGATTAGGAATTAGTATTGCAAGATTCTTAGTTTAATTTCAGTCTTACTCGAAAATCTTACTTATGCAGGCATTCACTTCTGGTATTCATACTTAAAAACCTACAGAGTTTTTGGCAGGCTACACAAAGAGAAAAAACCCTAAGCCTCAAGTGTGCTCTGTGTTTGGTGTGCTTCCCACCCAGCCAGCCACACAAGAGCAGCATTTAGGATTTAGGATTTATGACCCCAGCTGCAGAACCTGTAACTTTCTGACAAACTTTGCAGCTTGGGGTGGATCTTTATGGAGCTGAAATCACAAACAGCAGCACCAAAGTGTTGTTTGTTATATAGATCCAGGCCTATGGGACACTGAAGCTTCAGAGTTTGGCAGACAATGTCAACACGTTCACGGCCTTCAAGTCCTGAAACTCCTGATTCCATCCTGAGTGCACCAGCTTTAATGTTAATTAATGATGAAAAAAAGGTGACGAAAGGCACCTTGTATATTGGATTAAAAAAATCAGTTTTTTTTCAGGCTTCAGAATGAGTTATTTAGTAACCTACTTGTGGTGGAAAAAAAAATTGTAACTGCCTTGTCAACTTCCATTTAAAATAATTTAGCCAAGCACCTTTCTTTTAAATATGAATTTAATTTGTGGTCTTTATTGTATGCAGTAATCAACTGACAATGAGATTGAGATATGCAATTGCTTCAATGGTTCAAATTAAACTTATTCTTTGAATCCTAAGCATCCAGTTTTAAAAAATAACATCCCATTCAGACTACTTAACTACAGCAGCCTTCAATAACCTATCCATAAACACAGTCAGTTATTCAGCCTGATTACTGCAACCATTCTGGGTAGGAAACCAGATATTTGGGTCTTTTTGAAAGAACTATCATTGCCCGAGCACAGGGCACCTATACGCAATACTCAGCTAATGTAGGTATTAGCAAATTTGTTCTAGGATTGTTTTAGCATTGCTTCCACTCTCTGAGGTGGAGAGGAATTGTTTTTACTTGACTGTCAGCTATGCCAGATAGTTATCAGCCAGATACCAGATTTTTTTTGCTGTTTCAAATTACAGGACTATTTTAGGTAAGGTAATCTTTTGCTCAAGAGCCCACATTCAAAAAGCAAAAAGGGAGTCCAAGATCATTAAATATACATTAAAAGACTGGTGTTACAGTTGCAAGGCTGCCTTATGCAAAGAGAATTCATCATTATCGATTTAAAAATCAGCAAAGCGGGATGATATCATTCCTCCTCCTCTGACTCGTGGGGGGTTGCAGACTCCTGCCTGGTTTCAACTTCCAGTTCTGCAGTCATCATTCAGGGTGAACTATTCTTACACAGGAAAGAGAAGCATTAGACTTCAGAGCTAACTAACTCCAAACCGACTGCTGTCCTGGGGAGAAAATAATAGTAATAATAATAACAATAATAAAAACACACTATTGACAGCTTAATCAGTGATGTAGGCACTTGGTAAATCATGTTATTCTGACAACCATCGTGCTGAAAGGGGTTATCAACTATATTCTGGCAGTCATCATTTAGCGATACATTTAATAAATGTACTTAACCCTGGAGAATTAATACACTCTGAGATGCGAGAGATCGCTATAGGAGAAACCTCTGACCCTTCCAGTACCTTTCAGGTTTTTCATTCCTGTTTTTAAGTGTCTCCCTCTCACTGCACTAGTGAACAAAACTTCCAGTGTTTTAACATGACATTTTTTCTCAGCATACAGGGAGCACTGTAGGCACCCAAGATCCCTCTTATTCCTGCCAAATCCTTCTCAAGTTGCTGAGAAAATCACCATCAGCACATTAACCTGTAGCAGCAAGTTTCCAGGTGATCTGCAGCAGGCCTTTGTGAGTCTTTTATGCAATTTAGATTAAAACAAAGACTCCTAAGTCCAATCTCCGGAGACCTTTTTAGTGGGCCTACCTGCTTAGTTAATTTGGGGCATGCTCCCCATCTCAGGTTAGCAGTAAGGTCACCTCATCAGAAATACAGCTTTCTTGCTACTGATTTTCAATAGTTTTTTTTTTTTTTTTTTGAAAAACACCAATACAATTCGTGCATCCACAGCTCTTAACAGCAAAGCAAGCCGTGACTAGCAGGCCGAGCGGCCGGCTCGTGGACGGTGGGATTGGGATCCAGCACTCGCTGGGATTCATGCAGGAAGCCTGTGCACTGCCATGAATGGAATCTGGTTTTCCTGGCTCCCAGTCACATGCCTTAACAAGAATAAAAGGATACAGATATCTTTTCCTTTGTTCTTCACCTTTGAGATTCCTCCACTTCAAAGGCCACAAAGAACTACATTATACTACTCAAACCAGAGCCTGTGAGCTTATCTTTTCTGGGGGAGTGAGAGGGAAAAAGGAGAGCAAGTCAAGGTTAAAATCATTTGAGACAGGGGTTCCTTTGGTCTGATAAACAGTTAGCGCCTGGAAATCCTCTTCCCCTATGCTAAAAATTAATTTTGGACGAAGAATCCCGTGGAATTCCTATCCCCACTGCTCTTAGCCCTTGTGACAAACACGCTCTGAGAAAACCCGGGTCAAACTCCGCACTTCAGGACTGACGTCCTGGGGCCTGCAGACATTGCAAGTTCTTTTTATACACTGCAAAGCCAGCAACAGAGCAGACAGAAATTTGATCTTTGCGAGGAGAGAAAACAAAAAAAAAAAATGCCATCTGCTATCCCCAAGACACTCAGCACAGCGTCAGCTGCACTGCCACAAACTGCACGTTCAGCTCTGCAAGCGTTAAGTTTCACAAGCGAGAACTTTGAAGGACCTCCTTAAGCAACGTTTCTGTGCAAAGATACTTGGTAACAATAAAAATAAAAGAACCAAAACACACAAAAGGCCCCAACATTTCTCTCTAGCCCTCTGCTCATTCCTCTTTCGTAACTGTAATTCTTTTTATGACCTGATCCTCTCCACAGAGGCTAAATATTTTATCACAAGTGAAGCAGCGCAACATCAGATAAGAAATAAAAGCAGAAGCAGCAGCTGAACTGCTTCAGAACAAGGATCCTATTTTTATGCAAAAGCCACTGCCCTGTTTTTAAGTGGCTCAAAGTACCTGAAAATACTCCACAGAGAGCAATCCGGCCTGGTGAATATCCAAGACTGTCTAGCAGGTCCTCAAGGCCTGATATTCTGCATTTCTCCTTTAGCAACAACAGCTTTGCAGTTGTGTTTTCCACCTCCCCCATCCCCAACGGGGCTCGATTAAGGTCTTTAGTCGTCTAAGCGTTTTTTTCTTGGAAAGGATGTTTTTTGCTTCCACATCCAACCGGCAGCTGGGAAACCCTGGCCCAGTATGTGAGGGCTGGTACACGGGAGGGCCACGCTGCTATTTAACAACATATCAGTATTTCAGGATGTGGTGCCAGTGAAGGGACATCTGACCCAGGCCAGGTGAATTTCTGGGGTCCAAACTGTGGTTTTCCAACGCACCTAAAATGCTTAAAGCTTAAGGTGAGGAAACACAAGCCTACAGGCACTGGTGCATCACTTCAGAAACATGGGGAAATAGGTCTAAATCCACGTAGGATCCATAGTTAAAAGAGAAACACAAAATAAAACAGCTCACAAACTCACACAAAGAAATCGGACGCAGCTCCACAACCTGCGGCCCCAACAGCCGAGGAGGGACAAAAGCCCCACGAAAAGGGAAGCGAGAGGCTCATCCCAATGCCCTCCCTCGCCTCCTACATGGGGAATCCAGGAGGGCTCTTCCCAAAGGACCACGGGGAGGGGGACATGGCGACCTCACAAGCACGGGGTGAGCAACACAGAGCGACCAGGGCACGAAATTTGGGGATGGAAAGAGACGAGCGGGGAGCAAGAGGAGCCTTCGGGCCAGCTCCTGCCCGCGCCGAGGATGGAGGAAAGTGGTGGCCCATGGCCCACATGGGGAACGGGGGGAGCCCACGCAGGTCTGTCACCTCAACTGCACCTTCGAATGCAGTTCTTAAGGAAGAAAACAGGAAATAACAATGATGATGATAGTTATAATAATAATAAAAGGTTGTGAAGTACAGCCGAGCACCAGCAAAGAGCAAAGAGCCTGCTCGAAACACCCACTGTGCCACAGCCACCCTCAGCTGAGGACTTGCCAAAAAGCCTCAAATCCACCCAAACCTCATCCCTTCCCCTGCACCCCCTTCCAAAGGCAGTGGGGTGGGGAAATCCCTTTCTTACATCGCCCCACCGCTTGGGCCTGTAGGGATGCACAGAAAGGGTTGGAAAAAGAGGGGGAAAGAGAGGGAGGCAGGGCAAAATGAGGGGGGAAGAAGGGAATAAAGGGAGAAAAAGGGGAAATAGGGGAGGGAGATGGAAAAAAGGGGAAAACTGGCGGGGAAAGGGAGGAAAAAAGGGGTAAATCAGGGGAAGAAAGGCTGGGAAAAAAAGGGAAATAGGAGGGGGAAAGAGGGGGAGAAGGGAGCGCGCGGGGGTCGCCGCGCACTCCCCCTGCCGCCCCACGATCTCGGCCACGTGCT